ACGGGTACGGTTGCGGTCTCACGCACGTGAAGCGCACTAAAACAAAGAAAGTCTAAATGAAACACAAGTGAGGTTTTATCCCAAAATTAATTGGTGAAGACTGAAGAGTCTATTAATCTTATAAATTAGGCTTATTTTCCCTATATAAACAAGGTAGAAAAATAAATATTCTAATACGTCGAAACTAATAAATTTGTTTCAAAATTTAAATATTTACTAGTTTTATATTCTTTTCTTTAATAAAATAAACCTTGTTGTACTTTAATAATATATATATATATATATATATATTCAAATAATGATCACAGGCGATAGTAGCAGGCCGCACAAAGCGAGGCCCGCAAAGTTATGAACTTGTGAACTCGTTAGCCTCTGTTTCGGGGAACACACGCAGAAGGACAGTAGGGACGACTCATATACACTGCTTTAATTCTCTCTCTCTCTCTCTCTTTCCCTCCAATTCAACTTTTGTTGACAAACTTTGTCACACTTGCAAACTACTGCAGCTTAATTATATATACCCTTAGCTTACCGCGCTTCAGATTGCTTAATTTGTGCCATCCTTTTTTATTCTATATATTTGACTGAATATTTGAATGCATATTAACAACACAGTGTCAGTCAATATCTGACATAGTTAAAATTGTCATTGAATTAATTCTTTTTAAGTAACTGGCATATACTATATACGACTGTAAAATCGGCACTTGGTGTCGCATATAGTCAAGTCGGAGACGATAGCACTAGAAAATATATCAACACAAAATCCAGATCCTCGACCGGAGAGCTCTAAACCGTGGGCCCCACAACAAAATGACGCGTAAATTATAAGTAAAAAAAATATATATATTATTTTCGAACTAGCTTATAGCTATCTATTTAAGACTGGGCATAGCCCACCCCTTTCTCCCATGCATTTGTCTTGGTAATCTCCAACACTACTCCTTTCGTGTTTTTTTAATGTTTGTCTTATAAATATTAATATTACAATTTTTTCATAATTTTTTGGTATAATATATTATTATTATTATTATTATTATTTTTCTTGAACTAGGCCCTTATCCCATAACTTGTCCCTCAAACAGTTATCCTCTCCTTCCTCCATTTAAACCCCCCCACCCCTTTTTCCTCAAGCCCACATTCAACAAAGATAAAACCCAAAAAAAAAAATAAAGAAGTATTTTCGATTTATCTGCCAAACGGGGAGATTGTAAGATAACTTGTTTTCATTTTAGCTAAGAATTAATAATAATGTCTAGCAGAAGGTCACGTTCGAGGCAATCAGGGTCGTCCAGGATTAGCGACGATCAGATATCCGATCTCGTGTGCCGGTTGCAACAACTTATTCCAGAGATGCGCAACCGGCGTTCGGACAAGGTATATATAACAACATTAATTAATTCCGATATTACATTTAATAATCATATCTATTATACGTGTATTTATCATATTTTAATTTGTTATATATTGAGTCGTGTAATTTTTTTTCTTCATAAGGGATAAGCATTAACGGGTCTAAATAATACTGGACAATGCCCACATCAAACATTTAATTCACCATTTGTTTTTTGTGGGACACTTTGTGTTTGCTAGCTACATATATACCATATTTATTATGCATGCAACTATTGATGTGCCAGTCACTGTGTAAATTAAATTCATATATAGTGCGACCTATTTTATATATATATATATATAGTCTAAAATTTGAGAAATGTTAGGGTCTCATTACGGAACAATTCCGTCGAGGTTTATAAACCGTCGAGAGTAGTTGATCTAACAGCTACAAACTCCGACAGAATGATTCCATAACGGATCGTAGCATCTCCCCTATAATTTGTAGTCCACACACATTTTTACAAAGAATAGTTGTGCATTAGATATTAAAAAAAAAAGGATCAATAAATTTAATTACGGTATATATATACATATATTTAAAACATTTTTTGTATTTTTTGGTGACAGGTTTCGGCTTCAAAAGTGTTGCAAGAGACTTGCAACTACATTCGGAGCTTGCACAGAGAGGTCGACGATCTGAGCGACCGATTGTCGGAGCTTCTCGAGTCGACTGACGGTGACAGTGCTCAGGCAGCCATAATTAGAAGCTTATTAATGTAATAGTGTGTGTTTGTGTCTGTCTGTGTGTGTGAGTCCAAATTATTATGATATTATAATTATATGTATGCTTATTTGTCTTTTTTATTTTGACTCTTGATTATTATTATTATTATTAATTAATGTTGCCTAGGGTTTGGTCACTATGTTAGGCCAACTAAGAACTTTTTATTAGCTTTTGGGATGCTATGTGTGTGTGTAATGTGTATGCATAATTGCATATATGTATAGTATCCCCCATCTTATTTTATTAAAAAAAAAAATAATAATTAATATTTATGCAATAGAATTTCTGCTTTTGTTGCTTCCAAATAATATTTATTATTGTTATTATTATATTAATAAAGATGGGTTGCTTCTAATAAGTTTCCAGTTCCCCATACTTAGGGATATCCCTAATAGGGAAAGCTTCTATATATGTTGCATAAAATAAAAATTGCGTCTTTACTTAATTAATTCTGCATTTTTTATATATATATATATTTATTTAATTATATTTAAAATCTATGCTTATATAAAAAGTCATCCTATTTATTAGAAATAGTAGGCAGAAAAGTTAAAAATAATTAATGCTTGCTGGAAATAGAATGACATTTAATTACAGATTTGTTTTGGTATTTATAGGATTAACATTAAAGATTTGTTATGGGATAAAAATCAGAACTGATTTTTTTACCTTTGTTGGAAAAGTCAAAGGTAAGTATAGATTTGTTTATATTATCAAATCATGAAAAAAATATTAAATCCATATTGTAAAAAATATAATTCATATAATTTTATAACAATTCTACTACACTATTTAACAGTATTTATTTTTTATTATATAATAAAATAATAATTAAATATTATATGGTCAACAACAATAAGTAAAACTGTTAATTTCTCTTATATCAAGGGATAAATTTATATGTTAAAATTTTATTACAATAAATGTTTTAGTGAGATAATATATTAATTATTTTACAAGCTAGCCATAACATGTTCATATTTAATGTTCTGGCTAAACAAACAACGCTGGTTAAAAGATGTGGAAAAAAACTTATAATAACCCTATTGTTTTTTAGACTTAACGCTGATTAAAAGATGTAGAAAATAGATAATAACCCTATTATTTTAGACTTAAACGGACAAGACTGTGAAAACAACTCATTTAATATTTTTTTCCCGTGCATCGCACGGGGTACGTACTAGTTAAATTATAAAACAACCATACTACAGAACAATTTTGGCTTGCAGCAGTGATAACAGAAGAATAATATTCAAAGTATTGTAAAGATCATTTGAGTTCGACTCGAATTAGTTACTTATACGAGCTCATTTGTTTTAGATTTCAAATGTAGTAGTCAAGCCGAACTTTTTTCACGAACGGTTTTTTTTTTTTTTTTTGTGGTTTCGAACAACTCGTTCACTAATTTAGGATTTATTAAACAGATCGAGTCAAGCAGAATCGAGCTTAAACAAGCTAGAACATTTTGTTTATTTATTAAACGAGTCGAACCAAAAAAGACTCATGTATAACGAGCAATGAGCTCAAATAACGCCCCTAGCCATTTGTAATATATATATGTTTCCCGTATCGTTGCGTCTTTGTGTGATACGACTTTTATGGCATTTATTAGCTTTCTTACCCAAGAATTCAGGTATTAATTAGTTGCCTAATATATATTCACCATCACAAAAATTGTACTCTAAACAAAAAATAAATATACCATTAAAGTATGTTAAATATGTTTTACGCGTCTATTTAAAAAAGTGATGATACATTTCAATATATTTTTATTGAACAGTCATAATTAGCACTGTCAAACGGACCGGTCCGGCCCGGCCCGCTCCGGCCCGCGGTCCAAATGGGGCGGGCCAAAATGGCCCGCATTTCTAAGGGCTGGAAAATACATAGTCCGTGGCCCGCCCGCATTAGCCCGCGGGCCAAATTGGCCCGCCCGCGGGTTTTTTTTTTTTTTTTTTTTNTATGGTATTTGCACTCTTATATATTTTTTGGTTTGTTTAACCTTATATTTACTAGTATATTAATAAACTAGTAAGGTTTCATGTGTAATGATGTTAAATATTTGTCATCTAGTTTTTATTTTTATTTTTTTTATCGATAGTTATAGGGTATTCACGCGCGCGGGAACGACTTAATTGACATAAAATATTATTTGATTTATTAATATTTTTATTATGTAAAAAAAATGTTTCATGTGCAAGTTAGAAATTAGAAGTAAAATAAAAAATACTAAA